ATTTACTTTTAAATTAAGAAATTGAGTAAGGTATAACACTAAAATTTGAATTGTAATTTTCAATTTGATACCAAACTTATTGACATAAATTCATGAAATAGTAGTTCAATAAAACTTATGCGAGTCAACAAATGAGGTGGCATGGGCTTTCACCTGTGACCTGTCTCAAATTGGTTAACTGTATTTTTTTGTATTTACTTTTAAATTAAGAAATTGAGTAAGGTATAACACTAAAATTTGAATTGTAATTTTCAATTTGATACCAAACTTATTGAAATAAATTCATGAAATAGCAGTTCAATAAAATTTTGAATGTGAATCAACAAACACGATGACATGGCCTTTCACCCTTGACTCGTCTGGAAAGGGTTAAGTTAACTGTTTTATTGCTCTTTGAATTGTGTCTAACTAATACTCCTGCCATTTAAGTTGTATATCGCTCGGTGAACATGTAGTTAAGTTACTGTATTGAAAGATATAATGCACAAGCTGTTTGCTAGCATACCTTGCGAAGAATTTTTATTATTATTTTTCATTACCTTACCCATTCTAACCTCATCTGACCTAACAAGTTTTTAATTTTTACATTTGTATTACTCTTATAACAATAAATAAAGAATATACATGAAAAACAAGAAATACATTACTCACCTTTGACCTCCTGCTGTTTTGCTGTTGGTTGCCAATTAAATTTAAGCTAATTTTTTTAATACTGATGGTACTAGAACATTAAATAATTTTTATTTACTTAAATAGTACACCTAGGAATAATAACATGCATAAAGCATACAATGTTGTTATCTATTATAATTTTGCTATCTTTCTAACTAAGGCATTAGTCTTAAAATAATTCACTAAGCTTCTCAATCTAAACACCATGAAAGAAACTGAAAACAAAATATACATACTCTATACTAAAAACAATGTAATATAATACATCATTTGAGAGATTAAAACTCAGTTGATTATAAATGATATAGATAACATCAGAGAGAGTTATTGACAACTTGTGGGCTGGCAGTTGGGTCTTTCTAGCTTATGTTTCCATAAATAATTAAGATTAAAGGCTATAAAAATTAGACTTTGCCTTAATAACATCTGTATTATGATGAGCAATTTATGTTAAACTTCGTTCTTCAGAGAGGGGTGCTAAATATATTAGAGAATGGGCAAGACATTGAAAACAAATATCACAATTCTCATACAAGAGGACATTGGGGATTTTTAAAATATTTCCTTTTGAAATTAAGAAATTAAAACATATAATATTAGAATTTGATTTATTAACTATATTTTGATGACAACTCTATTCGTATATATTGATAATAAAGTAGTTTAAATTTGGAATGTAACTTAAAAAAGTCATGACATGTGCACTTCAACCTACCCATAATGAGAGGGTTAAGGACTGCATATATATAGTAAAAGATTCTTATTTGGATGAAGTGAAATATTGTTCTAGTAGCAAACTAGTCAAATTTTCTTACCTGTTGTTTGTAAAGGGACTATTAGTACATTTCTTGAGTGATTGTTAAAATAGGATCTAAGGCATTAAAACTTATATAAAAGAATAGTATTTATCTGTACTATTTTGTGTATGTAAAATTTATTATAAAATTTATTACAATGTGTTTTGTTGGTGAGCTAAAAGGAGAAATCAAACAGGTTTTTAAAAACTTAATTTCATCATTTGTCTTTTAAAAATAAGCAAATCAGGTAGAAAATGGTCAAATGTTTTTTATTGGAAGTTATTTTATGAGAAAGTTTGCCAGCATGTTATTTGGGAGTTACTCATTTATTTAAATTTCATTTATACACTGTAACACAGGTTTTTATAAAAAACTGAAAAATTATCCAAATATTTGTTGATATATTTGCTTTTATTATGAAGCATGATTCTGAGTTTTGCTTTTTTAAGTTTTGTATTTCTTGTTGTTTAAATTTCAACCATTTGGCATTATTTTAGCATTTCCAGTTTCTGGTATGGTCACCATTCCAATGTCAGTGTACCAGACAGTGGTTACTAGCATGTCACAGCTGTCTGACTGTCAAACTAGTCATCAAGGACTGCAGGTTTCAATGGCTAACTTGGAGACAGCAGAGTGCATAGACACAAAACCTGTTGGAATTGTCAGTTCTTCAGACAGAGTAGATCCTATACCTTTGAATATAGGAAAAACTGAAAACTAGAAAAATCTACGTATAGGTTTTAATTGTGGATGTTAAAGATTGTATCTTAAATTTAGGTTGTCATTAGTGTTTATTTACAGATTCTTCCAGCAAATGTCAAATCTAGAAACTAATGTGATTTTGAATATTAGAATGTGCAATCATGTGGGAAAAAATGTCATTGTAAATGAGCTATTATTTTCTTAGTCCTGACACAAGGACACCTGTATTCTTTTTAATAGTTTAGTGATAGCCACAGTAGTTATTCATTGGTACACATTTCAAAGATTAAAATGTGAACTGGTTAAATTGACATGATCAGTAACACTAAAAATTCTAAAAGTTTGATAATGCTGGAAGAAGGCAATAACATTAAATATTTTAAGCACAGTAGTACAGGTATTTGATATGCTTTAGAAAAATGTAAAATATGGCACATTGTAAATGTGTATAAAACAAATTATACTACAGGGAAAGGGGTGGTTTTGTTATCGTAATTTTATGTAGATATTTGATAAAAGGATAATTATTTAAAGAGGGAGGAAACAGAACAACTGAGTTTTTGGTAATCAAACTAAAAGCATTTTAAGAATTGTAAATTACACTTTGCTGACAGATATGTAGATCTTAAGTCTTCCAAATAATATGGGTTCAGAGTAGGTTAACACAAATCTTAATGTGCAGTCAAAACAAACTTTAAAATATGTAATAAACTTGGCCATGCAGTTAAATATTTTCTGCATAGACAGTTTTTATAGCTGTATGAGTTCTATTCTTTGCCTTATAGCATGAATTATACTATTATTAAAAAAAACAATTGTGTATCAGTAAAAATACTGCAATTTGTTTTTGTTTCAGAAATCAAAATTACTGTATTGAAATTCTAAAGACTAATCCATACTGCCTAGCTTGGTATATAATTTACATTTGAAATGACATGGTAAGCCTTTAAAGACTTTATAAAAGTTTTGTAGTGAGGAGAAGTGTTACTCAGTATTCACATAAAGGCCCAAAAAAAGTTAATATTACAAGGAATTGGCATCATTACAATGCTTTTGTGTTGCAGGTTTAGTATGTTTTTTTTTAATGTAAATTTACTTTTATGTTTTTTGTTTCTTCCAAGATGAAGTCAGGTTTTTTAAACATGATATGCAAAATGATGTCTATACCCATGTAATAAGTGAAAGAAAAATATATCTACAACTTATATTTGTCAAAATGTGTTATTAATATTGCTTTTAAGAAGTTATGTAACTATGTTGTGAACCAAAGCATTGGAGTCATGTATTAACTATGTATAGATTATCATAGCTCAAGTTGTTGGTTGGGGAATTTCTTCCTATTTACAGGAAGTAGTCTGGGATCGATTTAGCTTTATAGTTCTATTTCAGTAATTCCATATCATAGACTGTTTTTCTTGTATCATCCTCTTGCTTTTTGGGGGATTCACAAATACAGTCAAACATAAAATTTCAACTCTTCAATCTTGTACGTGTAAAATGACCCATAGATCTCCATCACCATAATATGTGAACATATTGTACACAACCTTCAGATCCCAGATATAAGTACATTTGTGAGGTTAGGATAGTATCAACATGTATATTATTCATGATGTCAGAAAAACACATGGGTTCAAGAAGTCTTAATTTAAAATGATAAGAACCATATAACCTCAGCGCTTTCAAAAGGTGGACTTTTCAAAAGGGTTCGAGTTATAGGGTTTTTATCATTTTAACATGTATATTATTCCACTGTATAATTATCCTCCATAGTTTTTCATATGGTGTCCTAATTATAGGAATATCATTTATTTTATTTTAAACTTCTGAAGGTTTATGCCACAAATATGACTACAAAACCTACAAGTTTGTGTTAAGAGCGTATTCCAACATCATTGGGAAAACATTATCAATATTAAAATGAGGCAGAACTTATTATGTGTTAAAAGCTAAATACTACAAAATAAAAAAGATCTTTGTTGATAGAGTTGGCTGTATTGTACTGTTTAGTAAAACAAAAAATACTAATTATGTATAATTAACTTTAACACGTAAGCTCTTTGAAAAAAATTAAATCAAAGGTGAGATAGTGCATCCTGACAATATACGAGTTACAATAAGATCCAAGTTTATGACATAACAACATTGATAGTAATAAAGTTCTGGGCTATAATATACATATTTGGAAAATTTTATTTTCAAATTGAAACATGTATTTGAAGTATTTTTAAAGATATCTTTTATTGTATAATAAATAAGTTCTGTTGTGGAATGGTTTGGGTAAAATACATATATTGGAATGAAACATTTGGAATATTTTTCTTCAGAAAATGGGACAAAATTCATATTTACTCCTCTTAAGCCTTTGATTTTTAACTGTACAAGATATTTGTATTAAGGTCTTATGTAGGTGTCTCTAGTGTTTTGGTGTTGTATTGTCTCTGTATGATCCACATTTTATACATATACTGTGGATTAGTGAATTTTTTGATAAATTTACCATACAAGTTTTATTTATCTAGCACAGTCAGTGGGTGTTTATTCTTCTTAAAAGTATGCCACAATATGTGTATCAACATATCCAACAAAAAGTTTTAACCTTTTTAGATAATCCATTTCTAGATATCATATGGTAATGAATGGTGGACTGTAAAAATATTGTTTAACTCAAGATTTGTAGTAATCAAAAACAAAATAATAATCACGTTGATTTCTGAATAGATATATTCTTGAGATTTTTATTGTGATACTTTTGTATCAGTGCATTTGATTACAAGATGCAGTAATGACTAGATCTCATTGATGTTACTTGTTGTGCATGTGCAGTTAGTTTATTAGTAGAACTAACAGTTACAAAAGAAATGAAAACTAATATTCAAGTTGATTACAAGCATAGTTTAAGTTTCTTGAATGTTTTATCAAAGTGGCAGTTTTTGGGAATGCTGTGGACCGAATTTAAGTTTTAATGGGAACCTCATTTAATTTAATTTTAATCCTTTAGTAAGTAAAACTTTTACTTAATAGTTAATTTTATTTCGATAAATATTTGAGGCTGAAATCTTGGATCAAACTAGAGGACTACAGATATGATGTTTGTTTCTTTACAGATGCATGTTGAATTATTTGTATATGGGAACTGGAATATTCCATCTTCAGCATAAAACTAACATCAAAAGCAGAGAGAAAGCTATAAATAACAAAATTGCAATAAAACACACACACACACATGCACTCTCACTTCAAGGGAAACTTGTTTGACTGTATAGATATCAGTGCTATGACCTTAGTTAAAACCTTTTTCTGCCACATTGAATGCCTGTGGCTTAACAATTGCTCCTTCTACTTCAAACCTGTCTTCTATAAATGATGTGATGATGACACTTTCATTTTACTTGGATCTAAAGACCATGTTCATCTCATTCTAAACTATTTAAATTCCCAACATCCTTCCATTAATTAACATGTGAGTTTGAGCAAAACCACTTTGTCTTTGCTAGACATTCTTATCACACTGTACCTTAACTGTTTCTTTACTGCAAAAAGACTCTTTGAGAATTCACATCTCTAAACTACAGGCTCATCTTTTATTTATTATGCTTATCCTATAAAATTTGTTCAAATTGTTGATCTTGCACAATGAAAGTAACTTCTTACAAAACATTCTTTAAAAAGCTTTTCCTTTAACTTTCTCAATAGTTAGTACGAACAATCCTCTAAAATCACCAAGGTTGACCCATTATTCTGACTGTTCCTTTCCTTGACAAAGTGTAACTTTAAAAAATCAAATCTCAAAACTTTGTTAAATCATTCTAATCCCCAATTAAACTATTAATCATCTTGGACTACGAGATTTTTACGTTTAAAAAACTGAATACCTGATCCTCTTACATTGCTAGGTTATTTATGGCTACACTTGTAGCTGCTAGGCTACTTTAACTGACAAAACAATACCCTATTTGAATGCTGCAATTCATGAAAATCTGACAACAGGACATTTCAATTTAAACTACTGCTGAAAGAAATTTAAATTAAAGAAAAAACTCCAGAACTAAATAACACTGAGTTCATCTTAACCTTTCTTAGCATCTGTTTTATCTGGTGTGTGTATTGGTAACTCTACATAACTTTTGTTGTTCATAGTTTAACCTGTTTGAGAAAGGTAGTTGCAGTTAGGCTAAAGATCTTTAGTGATTTACATAAATATGTGGACATGCGTGTAAAAGAAAGAGACTGAAGCCTGAGGGCTCTTTATAAAATTTTGTGAAACTGAAAATCACGTGAAACACCATATCAAAAGTATTAATATAGGCCTAATCTAAGATCCCTTGAAATAGTTACACAAGTCCATGTAATAGGAATGATTAAAGTTTAAGTTATATAAACATTTAAAATACTTTCTAAACCTTGGTCAGACATAATCGTGAATTATGAGAACATGATTGGAATGTTATAATTCAGTAAAAATAAAAACTGTTTAACAGTAGTCGTATCATCTTGCATATCAAAAGTAAATATTTTGTATATAGTAATAAAATCCTAAATACAACAATGATAAACTGCATGAAATCTTGAGTATTCATTTGTTTGATAATTGCAAATAATTACCATTCATTTCCTTTCTAAAAAAAAGTTAACTTTTTTTACGTAATTAGAAAAACTATATGTAGCAATACCATCTTTCCTATGTTTTAACTTTTTAATATTATCTGTTACCAAAGAAAGAACATTTGGATAATGGATTTTCATTTAGTAAAACTTAGTTTTGTAAATCAAGAGGCAGTTACTTACTTCTGCTTATCACAAGTTGAGATACTTTTTTTCTTGTCTGTGTACTCATTTTTACCAATTTCTTCAAGGGGGATATATCTTTTTTTTCACAATGGAAACAAGATGACTTCTGATATAAAGGTCAGTATAACTTGGTATCACATAGTTAACAGGTGGTTGTAAATATTATTATTTTTGTAAGTGATGTTGAAATTATAAAACTCACTACATAATCACTACTGCAATATGTTGTCAAAACCTTTGTCTCAAAAAAGCAGCTGTAAAATAATTGTTTAATGCAAATCTAAAGTTGTGCAGAAAAGAGCCAAATTACAATAGATAGTAATAAAATTAAAATGTTTAATTTTTTAACTATTTAACAATTTTTTCAGTATAATATGTTTATTGCATAAAATTTAGAATTAGTATATAAATTGCTTATTATCAAGTTCTTTAGACTAGAATACTTAGCAGTAGTGTCTCATACAGTTTTTACATTGTGCACTCATGGCCACACGTTAAATGAATAAGGTTATTACCTCCCTTTCCCACAGAATTGTGGATGTAATAAGGTGGGAACCATCATTATCAGGGAAACAGCAAAGTTACACAATGCATAAAACGACACTGGAAAACAATTTCACAAAATCAGACCTGAAGTGACAAATAATTTCTAAGGTATAGTTCACTTTTTAATACGCAATATTTGAAACCCAGTAAAACAATATGGTTGCATTGATGCAACCATATCAGTCGTAAACTCACAATATATGATATATAGCAGCATAATAAAACTGACTAAGAGAGTAACTGGAAAACCAATAAACACAGCTTTCTTTTGTTTATGGTATACATATTTTGGTTTATTTACCCAATTTGGGCAAAAATGTATGGTTATTTATCTTTAGAGGCTGTTAGCCATTTGGGCATTATTGAATATGCTCAGTGGGAGAGAACTCGTGGATAATGATCATGAAGGCCATAAAAATTTATGATTCAAAAATTAACTGTCTAGTAAGTAATACAATCAAACAAAAATCAGTTTAATGTTTGTTGAAAGTTTCCACAATTTCTTTAATGATTTAGATTTTGTGATTTATTCATATATATTAGACAGGTTTGAAAAAAAATTGATTGAGTGTTATACCTGTTTCCAATGAACCCTTAAGGCCACTGATTAAAAAGAAGAAACCAATCCTTCAAACGTAAAGCACAAGACATACTTTGTCTTGATCCCAACATTATTTGTGCTATTATTGGCATTTGACTGCATGTTTTTTACACATGGTAATACAGGTGGTACACAAATATATCATAAGGTCAAACAATTTTTTCCTTGATTTATATCAGTAAAAAATGTCATCTTCCCACAAATGAAACTTTATACATGTTAAATTAATGGGAAGTTATTGATGTATAATGTACCAAATTCTTTATACTCAAAAATAATTTGAATAGCATACCCCCTCTCACATGGGCAGCAATATTCTGTTAGATTTCTCCCATGCCTACTCAAAATTTTAACAGTTTTGTTTGGAGCAGTGTTTCCTAAATGGCAGGCCGTGGACCAGTTCTTGACTTAATTCATAACGTGTCTTGGCTGTTGAAAGCACTGACACATATGTTGCTTTCAATATTTGACGACTAAAAGTTGCTGTCTACCTTTTGTTTTCAATTTTTTTGTAATTAACAGATATTTTATTTGGAATGTCGGTCCCCGAAAATGTTTTTGGAATTTTACTGGTCCATGATTATCAAAAGTCTGGAAACCACTGGTCTAGAGGATTAGGACATCAGTAGGCTATGCCTGTATTTTTTTTATAGTTTATAGATAGAAATCTTCATTTTGTTTTTATTCCTAGAGTAACACTTGAAGAATGTATCATCAATTACTGGAAGAAGTTTATAGTTACTGTTAGAATAAAAATTTGACTTGATATGTTCTGTTAACATTGGAATGTGTAGGAAACACCTAAATAAACTTTCTTATTACGTACAAGACAGTTATTAGTATTTTTTATATTTCATTTTAAAAGCACATTTAAAACAATCTTGAACTAAATATTCATATCAGGCATTTCTGTAAATAAAGTTTTTTAAGCAGAAAGTTATTAATTTATAATAGAGGTTTTGAAGAAATGTTAAAATATATTACTATGTGCATTTCAAAACTTGTGAAGTTTGTGTTTAAACAAGTTTTTCTAGATATGAAACTCTTAGCAAATTTTGTAAAGAAAAAAATCTTCAATTTAAAATTTCCTATTCAAAATTGCATTTTATTTATTTTTCCAGTTGAAAAAGAAATTTTTCTACTCAGGTTTCTTTTGAATGTTTTTTTTTTACCTCATGTTAAAAGAAATCCATTTACAGATCTATCATGTAATGATTTTTACTGGTTTGGGTGTTAACTACTTAGTTCCACAAATTCCTGTATGAGATTATTGTAGCTAAAAAGAAACTTTGTGGTATGTTGAATACCCAGTGTTTTTTTTCTATACAGGTGTAACTGCTCAACAATTACATACTTGCACATTACTTATCTGTGTTTTGAAGTGGTGTTACTGTCTTTCAGAGTTGTAAGATGTTTGGCACAAATGAATAAAGAACTGGAAATAAGATCTTTATTAACACTGTTTGTTCAGTTATTTACTGTAGTGGAAGAGAAGTATGTACATATTTTTTACGACAAGAAATACTGCAAATGATACGTGTAAATTAGTTGTTTTAGATAATTTGTACAAGTTTCTTCTGTATGAAATAGCTCATAAAACTTTTTTTTATAGTATTTGTTTTATTTATAAATTGTCAAATTTTTTATACATGATTTTACAATATTGTAAATATTAATTTCACATTTTAATTTGATGAACAAGTGTATGGATCTTTGCCCTTCCAACCAGAAGCAGGTTAAAACTATATAACAAATTTACCAAGATCTTAAACTACTGGTGTAAGATAAATTATTATGGTTTCTAGAATGCAAACTACAGATATGACTTTAAAGAAAGTTAGAAAAAGTTTAGGCTGAGATTTATCATAGTCATGTACACACCTCATTTTCATTTTGTTAATAATCTCACAGAAGTAAACTTAGAAATTATCAATAAGTAAATAACTGTTTCATAAGAGTATACCTTTAAAAGTACTGCTACACATTTCACATCATTTCTTAAGGCATAACAGGTGGGTGGTGAGAAAAACCAAACTTATCCAGTAAAATAACTATGCCTGGTAGAACAGTTTTAAATGATATAGGAAAAATTGTCCATTTCTTTGCCAAAACTCAAACCTAACAACGTGTGTTGGTTTTTAACCTATTCATTATGTTCTGTGATAACTGTAAGAAGTTATTTAATTGGTATTGCATAGTTCAGTACAGTTGATCGATCAATAGGTTACATTCGTGATGAATACTTCCCAGTGGAAAGTGATGATCCGGGACCTCGATGCACAGGATCTTTACTAGAGCTGTGCGAATGCCTGCTGTTTGGTCTTGTATGAACAATAATATATTGGTCACTTCCAGATCCCATGGAATGATTTGTGCATCCACTGGTCATGTAGGGCTTGTTTAAAGATGAGCGAGATCCATAATGGGAGCTTGGAATCCATCCAACCCTGTAAGGATCATAATCTTCCATCTCAGAGGACTCCTTGTCTACAGTCTCCTAGTTAAGAAATTTAGAGGGTTACATTCAACTTCCAAAGATTTTGTTAGAATTACTAACATGGGAAACAAAAAATTAATAAATAAAAATAGATATCATACCTACTTATGGACCTTCTTAAACAAATAATAATGTGAGAAAAGATCAAAAGCCTCACTTAATTTATAGTTACGTATGATACGAGCCAAATCATACTTCAGATGGCTATCATTTCATAAATAGAATTGCATTAAACATTTCAACCATAAAAAAATGCTGAATTACTTTTATCAGAATCTATTATTTGAGTTTGATTTGCCATCTGAAAATTATGTTATAGCCACAATATTTAAAATTGATTGCAACATTACTAAAAAAATTACAAAACATTGATTTATCTGCTAATAACATGTATTGCCATACACTAAGTTTATATAACACTACCTATTACTGTCAATAAATCTAAGACTGATTGTGGCCTAATTGTTAGCTTGTTGAGTTGTGGATTGGAGGGTCCATGGTTTTAACCATGATACTGATATCCACTGAACACACTCCAAATAATCTCACTATTTGGTTGAGAGAAATTGCATAGGCAGCAAGTACTACTGACTGGTTGCCCACTCTCATCAGCATTTGTAAATTAAGGATAGTTACATCTGAACCACACGAGTCTCTGATTTGGCTATTTTACATTTAGCCCACTTGTCACATAGGTAGCATTCACATTTTTAATACTAATAAGACTTATTAAAACTTATTATTCTCTTTTAGGGTAAAGCACTTTATGTTTTTCACTAAACTGTTTGTGTGAATTCCTATAACAAGCTTGTGGTAATGTCAATCTTGGTAAACACTTAGAATACAGAATTAGAAACTAAATATTGAATTTTTCCTTAAAAAGAAAGGGCTGTTTCAAAATTTTTACAAGACTGTTTTAGTGAATTTATTATGCTACGTTATGCTATTCATTCAGTGTCATGAATAACATTTCAAGAAAATAAATGGTCTTTTCTTAAATAAAAGATTTATTAAATTATAATTAAATTCTTATATATATATCTTTGTAATTTTTTTAACAAAAACCCTTTACATTTTATTTAGAGAAAGAAATAAGTGCACTACACAAGGGATTTGTTTTTTTAGATAGTCTTAACAACTTGTACGGGACAACCTTTAACATAATAATGGCTGCACGAAACAATGAGAATGTTTATCAGTATATTGAACAATTTTCCCTATGGAATTGTTAAATAAACTTTCAAATATTACTATTTTAAATGTTAAAGCTAGAATGGTCTTAATGTTTAGTATGTTTTATTAGATCTTGTACAACCTACAAATTTTTAATTTTACTTCAATCTTTTCTTTGAAAACCTTTTTGTACGAGTTGAGGCATGTTGATGATTTAATTATCTATAATAATTTATGTTTTTTACATTTTAGAAAATCTTAAATAATTAAAAAAATGGGAGAGAAGTTTTTATCATTTGGTGTTTCAGCCTGATTCAACTGTTCAGAAGGGATGTACATCAAAATTAAAAACCTTTTCAAGGGTTAAAGGTTGCAAGAACTCACATTATATGTAAAAAGCTTTAAGCCCATCAAAATTGTACAATTCTCTAAACTTACCTCAGCACTCATGCAGGTACAAGTTAATGATGAACACAAGAAGATGTTGACAATAAGCATAACAAGGAGAAGAATAGCTAGACAAATGCACAGGCCAATTAACCAGGGAAACTGCCATTCTGTACAGTCTCTTACATGCTGAGCCACTGAAACCAAGGGTGACATATCAACACAACTCGTTCCTCATGGTGTTTTATTAGTACATTACTTCTAGACTATTTGCATGAGAAATTCACATTTCAGAATAAGATAATATGAGAATTCATATTATTTTAGGTGCAAAACTTCCAAAATCTGTTAAGATTTGTAAGAAATTTTTACTGAAAGTCACTATAAAGTTGGGCTTAAACTGAGCAAAAGTTAACACAGAATAGTTTACTAAAAGTAAATGTAAGGTTAGATTCTCAAAAGAATGTACAGTCAGTGACTCTTTTTTTTAATATATACAAATTTGAAATTATGTTAGGTAGTTGCCATTGCTAAAAGACTTACCTACTCCCTCACCAGGCTCTAGAACAAAGACTGTAGTGGAAGCCATTAACTGCACATTCTCTTCATCATCTACCCTTCTCTGAGGCAGTGCCTGTGGCAGCTTCTCAGTAGAAACACAGTCAGCCTACGATGACAAAGTTGGTAATTTAGGATAAATCTGAAAATTACTACTACTATTTTGTAAGCTTCACATACATGAATGGACAACTGGATTAAACTGCACAGATGAATTAGCTGTCTATTCATTTTTATTGACAAATTTTTTATCAATACATTTGTTAAAATTAAGACAAAGCTTAAGGGAAAAAAAGTATTTATCAGAATGGCTGTTTTAAAGTTGTAATGTTAAACCTGAAAAATGTTGTTTTTGCTGAGTATAAAGAAACATTTAAACAACAGGTACGATGTGTGTTGGTTATAATTTCTACAATTGAGAAATGGAAATATGTTAACTTTTTATTTTACTCCAAGATTAGTTTGTATTTATTCCTATTGTAACTATACAAATGCAGTGCAATGATTAATAAAGGAAGAACAAAGAAAACAACTTTAAATACTAAATCAAAAACATACTACTTTTTGTTAGTCACTACTATTTTTAAAAACATGTTTCTGATTTATATTTCACTACATTGCATCATTTTTCAAGTTAAATATTACTATATTACTTACTTACAGATAATGTTGTACTTAAATTTCATGGCTTATGGTCAAGATAATGTAATGGTGACTTTTACACATTAGATGAGTCTGTCATATCTTTGAATATTGAACTTTTTTTTTTTATATAAAAACAATGTTTCTCTTATGAGGGAAATCTTCATTTATATGTAAGTTTTCTGGTGAGCATGAGCTGTACATTTCTGCAGCCCTGGTATGTAGTACTTTAATTACTTCATTACAAATGACGTACCTCAATACAATGTCCTCTACACAGAACAATGTCACATTGAAAATGTATTTTATTAGTGTCTGGGAATCGAAATGTTGAGTACAACATGGCTTCTGCTGCTCTGGTTGTTTGGTTAAACTTGAACTGAGAGAGGAAGGATGTTTTAGGGCACCTAGAAAACATTTCAATACAAATACAACCTTTAATAAACTAGACGGGACTATTAAGTTAATTATAAAGACAGATTTTAAGGAACAAGACATAACAAATTAATGACTGTATTATAAAGACAGCTTTTAAGCATCTTGATAGAACAAATCATTTGATGGGTTATAAAATCATTGAGTGTGTGAAGGAATTTCTAAACACTAATGAATTTAGTTTTAAAGTTTACAGTAAGTTTAGCTTTAATAATTATTATCAAAGTATAATCTACTAAGTGTGATTTAAAGGATGATTACTGGGAAGAATATAATGATGAAAGTTTGTATTAATTTTCATGACCAGATGTATTCAAGGCTTTTTGTGCTTTAAATTTTTTATTTCATTTCAGACTAAATCATAGTATTTATATACATTAACAAAAAATATAATAGGAATTGGAGGGAAAAAAAAGGCTAACTGAAACATATTAAGGTTAAAAAATTTTGTTTAAACCCCCAGTCAAAAAAACAAAAACATCATGATGTTTCAAGCCTTCATCTCCTTTCAGGTAGACATACCATTATAAAAAATATAATGATGTAAATTTTGAAAACTAATACTACAACCTTATGAAGTGTGATTGCTGCAAATGCTGTAATAAACCTGTTTACTTTTTTGACTGTTGCTTAATTTAATTCTGTTTGTCACAAGTAAAGAGAAACTTTTCAAAAAAGGAAGTAAATGTAAAGATGGCCAATACCAATCCTTCAAAAACAATGCAAAGAAGATAGTAGGGATGGCATTTGCATCATCCCTACACAACAGCACAGACAAGAATTAACACATAGCAATGTATATAACTATTCAATCACAATTGAGTTTAATTTATTCTGTTTTTGTCTATTAACATACTACTACACTGTGTGCCTGTGCTATTATGTAGGGATGATGCATATGCCATCCTTACTATCTTGTTTGCATTGTTTTTGAAGGATTGATATTAGCCATCCCTACATTTATTTCCTTTTTTTGAAAAGTTTTTTCTTTAGTTGTTTATTTTAATGCAATGTTTCATTACACATAAGAAGGTTGTATTCATAACCAAGTTCTAAATACAATGAGGTTCCAACTGTAATATTGTTTATTTATTATTGGCTGGTAATTCCTGTTTAATCATGTACTTAAGATTTTTTACAGTAGAATTATGTATTTTTTTAAATTACTACTAGATAATAACACTTATAAAAGCAGATATTCCATTTAAGACAATTTCACTGAGGTGAAATTGGTTGACACCATCGTTTTGGTTTGAAAGTTATCATGTAATAAAACAGAACAACAAATTCAAACTTTTTGCTATGATATTGACAGACATTCCCAGAACTAGTGATTCAGTCATTACATAGATATTGTTATAAAAGGAAACTGTATAGTATTGTAAAGCTCTGATGACCTATTTAAGAGATATTTAAAATACCATTTCGATGAACAATCTGAGCCATCCCTACATAGGCAGTGCGACCACCTGCCTGATATTACACTTACACGAGTATGCAAAGGGTGTTGATTTCCCCAGCAGTGAAGTTTTCATCCTCTTAATAGAAGTGTTATTTAAACTTTGGAATGGGTTTGTGTACATGAGTAAAGGTTTATGAATGGAATATCCTCTTCCTCTAAAGCTGTTCCTAAGTTACATCCTGCCTGTGAGTAATTGACCCACCTTGTATTTAATAACATCTTTCAATGAAAGTTCTGGACAAATCAGAAGATAATTACATATTCAAGAAAATCAAACTTACAATAGATTATCATTTGTAAGAACCTAACTACGTCCACATTAATGAATCTGTTTGAGGTTGATTTCCTCCTTCAAGTTAACTTAAATAAAGAAAACAAGACCAATTAACAGCTATAGAAGCTGACAGTTAGGCAGCCAAAATCTAAATGTTGATATGTCGTACCCCTTAGCATCAATAAGTTCTACATCTGTAGTGTTTGGAGCAAATATGAAGCAGGACTTCACTTTGGTACCATACAGATCTGAAAGAGACAATCGTGTAAAAAAAGTTGCTTTTCTTAGCTACATTAAATTTCATTGTCTTTAAAAAAAATACAATAAAAACCAAGAATAAATGTGAAAATTATCATAAGTTATAAGAAATGTTTAATAGAACAGATTCATGTAATGGTGAAAATTAGGAAACAAAAGTACTTTAGGGAATTTGTTAAATGAATATAGAAAAATACTGTAACATTAGATAAGTAATTTGTTAGAAATATAACAATGAAATGGTGTTTAAGTTAAAAACTATTTGACACAGCTTATTAACTAAATCAAAATGAAGGTGGTTTGCTTACTGTCTGGATGAGAAAGTCCTGCCCGCAGGACATACTGACGACCAACAATCAGTTCATTTACTCTTCTAGTATCATCCATAAACCTGAGCAACACTCTTGATAACTCATTCCTAGTTGAAAGATACAATATCACTCAATTAATTCATTCAAATCTAGAAGCATTCCTAAATACAGAAAAAATGGTACTTTGTGGAGCATTTAGTGTAACACTCAAGTTTTTCAATAAAAACAACTTTGGAAGTGGCAAACCAAACTGTAAGTTTAGTGCTAAATTGTATCACTAAAAAGTACAGCATTAACTATATTTATGGGTTATCAAATTGGTGTGTTTAAAGAATTAGAAGAATGTTTTCTTCATAAAATAAAATAAATTAATAGAAATAAAGAATCATCTTACTCATATGATCATGATGATGTGAACATTGTATACAATCTAATTTTTGAAGTATCTGAAATTAATTTTGTTATGGGAAATATGAAAGTACCATTTAAAACATTATAAGTGCAAGGTAAAAGGAAGAACCAAACTAAGTTTCATAGCATGCCTTGGCAAGCTACTGGTTTACTATGAAACAAATTAAAAATACTAACGATAAAAGTTAAATTATATTGATTGAAAGGATGATAGGATGTTATAACTATGACAAACTATGTTTTTGAAGCAACTGGTGATGAATCATCAAGTTTTTTTTTAATTTGCATATCCATGGCACTGCAGATGAGTTTCCAAGTAAAACTGGTTCAACACAATAGCCCATTTAGCTGTTTGACAAGATTCCTAAAATATTTTTAAATAGCTTTCTGCTACCGGAATCTTCCAGCTTATTAGAGTTGTCAACAAGACAATAAATTTATTATATTGTACAGCACAGAATGAACTAGTGTAACAAGTCAATTTCAAGATAGTCATTGTCTGAAATTCTGTACATTAAACCAGAGATAGTTTATTCTAACATTGCTAAAATTTGGGTAACATGTTTTAAACTTTTCTGAAGGATAAATTGGCTTGCATTTGTAATACTTAGACCATTGCCACTCATTAGAACAGTCTGTTAAAAAATACAAATATCTTGCACTTACATATTATTGATTGTCATCATAAATTTAATAATGAAAAACTGAATGTTTCCAATTACATATTTAGTTTTCTATCAGTAAGGAAATTTACCCATAAGAAACAGACACTGCTTGCATTTATTACATTGTTCAACTATTACAGCAGCAGATATGATGATAAAAAGGCAAACTTACCTTGCATTTAGAAACCCAGACTTCCCACAGGTAATGTGATAAAACTTATCATCCGAAAGTTCTAAGGTTCTGTGAGCCCGAATAACCACAACTACTGACTTTTCTTCTGTTCTTTCCTAAAATAATAGATGAAACATTACTGAAAATAGAATAATAACTTTTAGTTCCTATTTTTCATTTGATAAATGTTTGAAATTGTTTAAATAAGAAATACATCACAGTTATAATAAAGCATAGGTTCTAAACCTCACAACAACATAGTGTTTTAAGATTGTAGTAAGTCTTCCTCTTAGTCACCTTTGATAATTCCAGTCAATTATCATCCTATACATATACTATATAGGACTTCACTCTATAACCTTGTGGCTACCTTAGTATGATCTTGTCAGATTAAAATATTTCTATGTTCACAAACTAACACAATTTGTTAAACTTTTAAAACTACCAGAACATGCAAGGTCCGTTGCTAAACAGTTTATCTAAAGATCTAATGTAACTTCCATGCCAGATAGAGTTTAATTACACAAAGTATCATAAATATATATACAACAGAATCAATTCTAATTTTTTAATATATTTCTTATTTTCCTGGTGTATGAGTATTCTCTTTTTCCAGAATATATGTGAATAAAGCCACTATATAGCTTATACTTACACAACACTGGTGTAAAAAAAGGGGCATATCATTGTCTTAGCAAGCACTATTTCTTCATTAACAATAAATATCTTAGAATTACAATAATCACTTTGAAATACACTAATCATTGTAAGCTTGGCACATTTGTTGTCATTAATGTTGAAAAATACTAAATAAATAAACATAACCTCATCTTTGCAGTATAGTAGTTAGGATATACAAATGCACTCTGTAGGATTCATACCCTGTGCTAATTAGCTACACTCATACCCTATGATCTTCACTCCAAAGTATCTATTTCATATAATTATATCCTGCTGTCTACAAACCAGTACTAGTATTAAAACCAACCTCTGAAATCTTCACGTCACATTGACGAGAATGCATAATCTTACTTCTGAATTTTGACATCACGGCAAAGAGAATGCATAATCCTACCTCTGAATTCTTCACATCACATTGATGAGAATGCATAATCTTACCTCTGAATTTGGACATCACAGTGACGAGAATGTATAATTCTACCTCTGAATTTTGACATTACAGGAAAGAGAATGCATATTCCTACCTCTGAATTTTGACATTACAGGAAAGAGAATGCATATTCCTACCTCTGAATTTTGACATCACAGCAAAGAGAATGCATAATCCTACCTCTGAAATCTTCACATCACATTGACGGGAATGCATAATCCCACCTTTGAATTCTTCACATCACATTGACGGGAATGCATAATCCCACCTTTGAACTCTTCACATCACATTGACGGGAATGCATAATCCTACCTCTGAATTATTCACATCGCAGTAACGAGAATACAAAATCCTACCTTTGAATTCTTCACATCACATTTACGGGAATGCCATAATCCTACCTCTGAATTCTTCACATCACAGTAACGAGAATACATAATCCTACCTCCGAAAGTTTTATGCCACAGTAATTCATGTCCCCCGAGTTGGCTAAAAGGCTGAGTCTAAGTGTTGCATTTCTATAACCATTTCCATAAGCCACACATGGATCACGTCGAAAATCCCTGACATGAACCATTCCATTAAAGGGAAGCTCTGTTTTTACAACTATAGTCATGATGCCACGCTCACATCTTGCCGTCACTGAAACAGATAAAGTATGACTTAAGTGCCTATATTAGTATGATATAATTTTTAAGTTATATGAAAATGAACAGTATCAACTAAATATATATTTATATTATTATTTATTAGAAGTATAAAATTTCAATTAGACCTAAACTACATTCCTTTCATCTGTATGTGGCCATCATCCTTTTTTAAAAATTATATACCTTTAATTGTACGAATTCCAGTAGTTAATACAAAGTGAAAACTAATTCCAATCAATACATCATGTGTTGACAGTACCTAATTCTACACTTTATTTATTATCATTAGCTGTAATAAAAATACATAAAGGTACCAATATTGAAAAGAAAGACGTACTGTTTTCAGGAATTCTAACAATAGTGGCTACATAGCTTACTTTAATGCTAAGGTATATACAACATTGGTAGTTTTTCTGAAATTAGAGGGAAGTCACCATATGACCTTCCTTATGTCATCCTATGTCACTGTGTCAAGTTTGGTGCTGATTGAGCAAGAAATGTGAAACTTATAAGGTACAAATATACACACATACTGACGTTTATTTAAATAGATTGTAATATTTTTCAGGGGAAAACGTGTTGATCTTATAGTTACAGTTTTCATAATATTGTTACGTCTCCGTTCGTTAGTTAATTTTCCGTAAAAATTCTTCCCGAAGAATTTTACCGATACATGTCCTTTCTTAAATAAAACTGGTTTATTATTTCTGAATATAACTTTGCGATACACTTAATTACAACAGTCGCGCTATAACAAACGCTATAATTCTCAACGCACGTCTCACGTGCTCGACTCAACAATACTCAGATCAATTACACACATTGTTCCCGTCGCTTCGTGGCCGGTCTTATATATACAAAACTACACTATATCTAGAAGGATCCCGAGATTTAACGAAGGGACGTAAATGTTCGAGAAGGACGTGGCGTGATACTAGTCACGTGACCTCCGCTGACGCAACAATATTTTGGACTTGAACATTTTTACAGTTACATTGTTAAATAAATGTTACAAAATTTAAAACATAGCAAATTACATAATCAGAAACAAAACGTTTTAAAACAAATTCATTGATTCATGTGGTCATCCTTAAAGACAAACAATAGCTTCATATAACAGCTGTAGTAATTCAAGGATAAACCAACCACATAGTTACCTGAACTTCACAACAACCAGATATTTAAGAGCCTAAATGTGAAAAGGCAGAAATAATACAAGTGGTCTTTGTAAATTCCACTCTCAGTCTTTGAAGTTCATTAGCATCCAATCCTCCCATTTCTTCTCCCGGTATTTATCTGCCTTGCAGAGCATATAGTCCCAAGCAGCATTCCAGCATATCACCTGGGTTGAGCATTGGTTTCACCAAACCATTACCATCCATGATTTGTTCTCTTCTGGCATATTGGTTGAGGGATGCTACATCAGCAAGACCTGGGTCGATAGCCATCCTACTAATAATATGGATGGCATTGCACAAGTGACAGTACTCATAAGATGTCGTTTGGTGGTCATTATGGCAAGTTTCTAGGTAGGCTCAACACTTCAATCCTCATTGCTAAGCAAGAAGTCTTGGGTAGACGTCTTCATTGCTTGGAAGTCATCATACCACTTGACAGCTCAGCAAACTGCTATTTCAATTTCACCAGTCTGTGATCTAATGAACCCAAACTTTGTTCATTTGGTACATTTCCACTACTAGCATCCCTTCTATTGGTATGTAGCGTTTAGCTCTACTCCTTCTTTGGACATTTAGAGACTAGATATTTCAGGTGAATGGCACTGAGTGTTGCTTCGCAAGTGAAGGTGAGGCAACCAACTATCCAAAGTATGACCTAAATCGTGTGATACAACTTTGACTGGTTCGAGGAAGTAAGGAGGCAAGCTGATTCTAACCTCCATTAACATCTCATTCTCACTCCCATTCTCCGAAAGCAAAATAATCTGAAAAAAAGGGGTCCAGGAGAGGACAGACCAGGTCCATCACGGTGGCAGCTGGAGGACCATCCATGTCAATGAACTTATGGTAATTGGAGTCTTATAGTCCTCCACCTACATAATTGGGTTGACATCAAGATCAAGGATATCTTCCCTGATGCACTAAGTAAAGTTTAAGTTTAAAATAAATAGAAAGTCTCTCTGTCTACTGGCCAGAGTAGGAATAGCCATTTTAACTTCAGCGTTGTGTTACATCAAGATTGATGAAAGCGCTGATCAAACTATACTGAGATAACTTAAGAGTTCATAATTCAGTACAGAATGGCACTTGGTGAAACATACATCTGTATAATAAGTTTCACTGTCTGTGTGTTACGTAACTCCTCCTAAACTGCTTCTCACAACCACATCTAAATGGTGCCAAACGAGTGTCTCGGCCCCAAAGTTTGCATAAAGGTAATAAAAATTATCCCACCCATTGGGAAACCCAGATATTTCCCGAAAATATCTCCTGAACTGCTGGACTCTCCGACTTCTAATTGGTACCAAACGAATTGTATCGGCCCCGAGGTTTGTACAAACGTAAAATTTTTCACCCACCCCTTAAGGAACCTGGTGATTTCTCGAAAACTCCTTCACCTAAACTACTGGACTCACCGACTTCTAAGTGCCATCAAACAATTTGTCTCGGTACCAAGGTTTGCACAAAGGTACAATTTTTCACTCCACCTCTCGGGAACCCCAGGGATTTCCCGAAAACCCTTTATTCTAAACTGCTGGACTCACCAACTTGTAAGTGGTGCCAAACGAATCGTCTACGGCAAAGAAGTATGCACAAAGTTAAAACTTTTCACCCAACCTCTTAAGGAACCCGGGTATTTTGTGAAAACACTTACGGGGATTCCCCGAAAGCGGACCCCATATTTGGCATTAACTTACATTAGAGCACTTAAATAAGTAAGCCGTAACTTAGTTAATGAAATTAACTTTGCATTATAGCGATATTAAACTGTAAAAGTGCAAAATAGTAGTTCAAGCAAATTTGTTAAACTACTATTTTGCACATTTTTAATTTAATGATAATTTGTTTTACACAGTCAAAGACGGAGTGGCCCACGGGTTTGCTATTTCCATCTATAACTTTGATTTTCTCATAGATTAATGTAAAGGTTTCACACATATTATATAAAATAAAGAACCTTCAGTTGCAACAGTTTCAGGGGACTCTAAATTATACCTTACCACTCATGTTTACCAAAATGAAGTGGATGAATCGTGCTCCCTCTGCAGGTTAACCACTTGGTTCTCAGATATCATAAAGAACAGCATCTCACACAACACACTATCAAGTGGCACACGAAAAGAAAAACAACTGCAACACTGTGGCTAACAGTCACAAATTAATTTATGCAGCAAAAACATAACTTATGTATAATATAGTATAATCTATACTGTTTCCTGTACCGATTGCAACGTCCAAACTTTCGAATCCTCCTTTAACACTGGAGGACATGATAGTTAGCTTTTACTTACCCAAGTTAAACTTTGCACTTACATGTCAGACATGTAATACGAGAGAATATTTGTTTTTCGTTTGAAAATATTCTAAATTTCAATCTTTCACCAAAACAAAAAATATTGCAAGTACTTACAGTTTGGCTTTTCACTACAATATGTCACTATTCATGGATACACACACCAAAAACAGGCTATGAGTTGTCTGGTGTTATCATACCAAACTGTGACCCCAAGGGTCCATGGCGTGCATCCCATTGCTGCAACATTGTGCTCTGCACTTTGAGGCTGTTTGTCCATTACAAGAGTGACAATCAAATCCCACTTGTTGATTAGAGTAGCCTAAGAGTTGGTGATGTGAGCTGTTGACTAGATGCCTATCAGTTCAAAATTAGGGACAGCTAGTGCACTTAACCTCAACACAAAATAAATAAAAGTAAACATTTTATCACACTAGATAATTTTGAAAGGATAACAATGATAAACCTGTCTCTCTCCACTTCCTAGAAGATATAAATATTGTTCTATAATCATATTCATCTCTCTAATTTATGCCATAACTGCATACTGAACTTCGTCTATGTAGGCTTTACCTTCCATCAACATATCTTCACTGTATTGATATGAACAAACAATAGCATGTATTCTTTTGTTTGTTTTTTCAAAGCATGTGTCCATAGGTATTTCTTATGTAAAACCAGAAATGAAAATCCTTTATACCTACATATATGTTGATGTTATATTCAACGCATACACACATTGTTTGAACACATGTGCAATAGTCAATATACTGTTTCAGGTATACCAGGGATCATCACCAGCTTACCAGCTACTTGCATTTTAGGTTCTCTAATGATCATCAAACATTGTTTTTATAAACAAAAATTGAGAGGATAACTATTATACAAAACATATTTAACCACAGAAACTAGACATTGGAACTCTTCTTTGGTTTTCCGTGTCTCAATCAATCGGTTGTTCTAATGAATGACAGTTATCTGGGAGGTGAAATTCATCGATAAAACCGTGCATACGAATATTTTTTTGCCTTTAAATAGCATCTAATTTTCCCTATACAGTCACCTATTCGTAAAGAAGAACGGCTGGGCTATTTGGAATATATAGGATTTGAAATTTTAGGTTTACAAATTTTCTTTATATCTTAAGTTCTGTGAATTATACTAATTGTTAACCAAAACTGTGTGAAAAGGTATACATAGTGAGCAAACGCTTACCAGAGATTTTGTGTTTCTATATTATGTACACTGATTTGTGGTGGTTATGCTTTACCATACTTCACCTATGCTAAATCCAAGTTAACTGCACTTGCAGCTTTTCATCAGCGTATTCAATATCCATCATTGGCAAAATCTTCACTACTTGTATAGTTCATTCTCTAGACTGAGACTTTAGGGTTCATGTCCAGTCTCCAGATATTATCCAAATAGAAAAGCTTTTTCTTTCTCCTTCCATTCACATGCTGTCGATCCAATTAGCATTTTATAGTGAAATTGCATTCCTGCAGTGTTTGGATCCAA